TATACATATATATATAAGTCGGGTGTGGTGCACACACCTGTGGTACCAGCCACTCTGAAGGCTGAGGTGAGAGGATCGCCTGAGCCCAGAAGGTCAAGGTTGCAATGAGCTATGATCGTGCCATTCTGGCTGGGCCAGAGCGACACCTGGTCTCCAAAAATAATATGACTTCAAGTACACAGTTACTCATTTGAGGTAGTAAGGGGTGGCATAAATATCAACTGTTCCATCATTAAGTACCTTGTGGCCTCTTTCTTGTCCTTCCACTATAGAGTAAATAGTAGTCAGATAGCCCAGTAAGTACAACAGAACTCGCACATGGACCTCTGCAGTGCTTACTTTGCCTCTGTAACTACTGAAAGAAATCTCAAATAAGGATCTTCTTAAAAACTTGAAGTAGTACTTAGGAGTACTTAGTACTACCAACACACGCTTTGGGAAAAGGAAAATCCTTTATGAAAATGCAAACTTTAGGAATGAAATGCTCCCCATAGGGACTCACTTATAGCTGTGTAAGTGACTGCAGGCAGAAAAACACAATCTGAATGAAAATTTTTTTTTTTTCTTAAACTTGGAAAACCTAGAAAAGATGAGTGGTATATAGGGGCCAATTAACATAAAAAGCACAAGGAAAAATGAGAGGAAGTCACTCCTCTCCTCCCAGTGGAGTGTTGTGTTTTGAAGGATTCATGAATGGAATTTCAGAAACCTGGCAAAAGAATACATTTACTTCGCTTACTCCATATATATTCTGAATTTCATATTTACAAAATAAAGTGTTTCCAAATGAACATTTCTTTTCTTACATGTTGTTACATGTAAAATTTTTACATGTAAAAACATGTAAAATTTACATGTAAAAAGGAATCTTACATGTAAAAACATGTACATCTTTTTAACATGTTGTTACATGCAAAACGTTTTTACATGCATGTAAAAATCGTTTTTACATGCATGTAAAAATCGTTTTTACATGTTGTTATATGTTGTTGCATGTGAAAACTGCACATTAAAAAAAGGAAAGGTAGGCGAATTCATCATTCAAGTTTTTAGATGTACATATACTTAAACTTCCACATAATCCATGAATATTAAACTGAATAAACAAAGCACTCTACATAATTCACCTTGCCACAGATGTGAAATAATTGTAAGCATACATAAATGTTAATAAAATACTTTCATTCAGTGCTGAGGGGAGGTATCATTGAATGGTGGACCAAAACAAACTACATGGCATTTTGATATCTGTGGAAATGACAAACCCACAAAGCAGTGGCTCAGCACTGGCATTAATGTATCTTGCTCAGTTGCCTTAATCATTTACAGTAGTATAATTTTTTTTCAAGAACACAGACAGTAAGGTGCTCTTAATAATTTTGATACGGCCATAGAGTATATCTACTTTTTGAAGTCCTGCTTTCATTGGAATTGCCTCTTTATCCTAATGAGTAAATACAAAAGAATGCACAGTTAAGACAGCTTTTGTCTTCTTGGTTTCTGAGACAGAGTCTTGCTCTGTTGCCCAGGTTGAAGTACAGTGGCACAATCTTGGCTCACTGCAACCTCCGACTCCCGGGTTCAAGCGATCCTCCTCCCTCAGTCTCCTGAGTAGCTGGGACTACAGGTGCATGCCACCACGCCCAGGTAATTTTTGTATTTTTAGTAGAGATGGGGCTTCACCATGTTGTTCAAGTTGGTCTCAAATTCCTGACCTCAAGTGATCCACCTGCCTTGGCCTCCCAAAGTGCTGGGATTACAGGCATGAGTCACCGCACCTGGCAGGCTTTGTCTTCTTTTATTAGAGAAAAATGTACTTTTCTATGCCTGTGCTTTCTACACTTTTGGAACTGATACAGATCCACAGAGGCAAAGTGAAATCTAAATTATCTTTAATGTCAAAATTTAATTGACCGTGTACATAACTGTGCAATTGCTGCTTTCTCACAGAAGTGTCTAGGGTTCATTCAACAGATCATAGAAACGAGGTCTGGCATGTAACAGACAAATGACAGAGGAGCTACACTGATTTATATAACAATTATCAAAACACTGTCATGTAGTTTACTGTAGCTCAAGTTGTGCTTGTATCATATAACACAGGTTCAAATTCTTTCTTCAGTCATCAGAATAACAGAGGTTGAAGAGACAACTGAGTAAGTGCCAACTCTTCCAAAAGCTGTTTCAAAAAAAAAATTTAAGTAACTGTGATACACATTTCTGCAAATAAAATATTCCAGTGCTTACATCAATCCTGAGTTTTTAATATTAAATATGCACTACTTACAGTCTCCGACACAATTTTATTTAAAAACATGTCTAGTTGTCAAGTTCACTGTCTTCATCAGAAAAAACTCTGTCACAAAGGTCTTCAAAGTTCTCAAGAGTCTAAAAGAAAAAGTCTAGTTCACTGACAAACCACCACTTTACATCTCGCATTTTAAACAGTTAATTAAATGTCAAAAGGAAACAGCTTTTAATATTCAAAGGATGCTGGCTATTCATTTCAAATAGAACAAACTATAATCAATACATGGAGCTCCAAATACCCACTTAAATTTTTTAATGCCAGATTTCAGTGACATATTTTTTTAGCAGGTCCAACAGTCATGTACTTTGCTTAAATACAATGGGTTGAAGAATATCTTAAGGTCAAGATGGAGCAAAGACAGAAAAAGACAGGCAGACTTATATCATGAAATATTATATTTTTTCAGCAGGTAGTGACCCATATATTATCAGCAAGAGTCTACGTAACATGGTTTCCACTGAAGGGATAAAATGGTCGGTGATATGACCTCATCAAGTTAGAGAAAATGTAACTATGTTTGAAATATATACTCTTTACTCAACAAATAGTTCAACAGTTCCTACTCCCTAAAATGTTGTATGTTAATGTTGAGGAAGACATAAAAAATGAATACACAATCTTCCATATTCCTGTGACATGAGCAAATGCACAAATTTAAAAAAAAGGAATACAAAACTCGTGTAACTGCTATGGAAGGGCAACTCACTCAGACATGTAGCCAAAAATGGAGACTGATGTTGATTTAGTTGGCAAAAGGTTTCAATCAGTCAAAAAAAAAGATTTTAAAAGCATTGTGAGGGAAGAGCATGAGCAAAGCATGGGAGTAACAGTGAGTTCCTTCAGGGAAGGCGGTCAGCCTGGAGAAGTGGGAGGAAAGACAGACAGCGGCAAAACAAGCCTAAGAGGGGGTCATGTAAAGTGGGGAGTCTCTGAACATCTAAGAACTGAGACGGGGCACCACTGACAGGCTGGGAAGAGCGAAGGGTCAGGAAGCATTTTAGGAAGGGGAGGGTTGTAGGAAGGTAATATTGCCGATCAGTGAAGGATGGCTCAGAAGAGAAGAGAGAACTCAGAAAAGAGTTTAATAGTACAAGCAAGGAAGAATGAGGTCTTGAACTAGGGCAGCCGCAGTGGGAATTTAAAGAAAGAAATTAAAGGACCATTGCAGAGGTAAAACTTGTCTCATGATAACTGCATGGGAAGGATAATGGACTCAAAAGAGTCTAAGACGATAGCAAAGTTCCTACCGTAAGTGGTAACATGGAACATTAATACTGACAGGAAAACTTCTAGTTTCATGTTCCTACCAATTAATAGATGGTTTCTGGGGAGCATTATAGCAGCATGTTCTCTACTTGTGACTTCTATTTAAATAACTGTGTATAGATCATCCTCAAGTTGCTTGAAAATGTTATTTTCAAACTCTTTTCTCAGTTTATTTAACACATCTCAGTTAGTGTAGAGGAGTGACATATGAACATGTCTTTTCACAAGATTATTAAAAAGAATACCTGGCCTTCCAAAAAAGAATTCCATTGCTTCCTAAATTATCTACATCTACATGAAGAAGAGGTTATTGTCTGATGATAATTTGCTAACGTGCTATACGACAGCAGATAATTCACAATTCACAACGTGTTAATAATCTGCTGGCTTTCCCATTCTGTTATACATCTGAACCATCTCTTATGATTACAAATTGTCATGTAAAACAATTACTAATAATTTTGTGAGTGAATATGCCATTAAAACGCTCCTGTATTACAGCAGGAAATAAAAGAGACACTCAGTAGTTACACTTGCCTGCTTCCTATTTAACTAAAACTCTTGAAACAACACAAGTAAAAAAGATATCCAGAAAGGATTTATGGACTTCCTGCCTTCCACCATAGATCTGTCATTGATGTTCTGAAAACTGAAAATAGTATCTTCATTAAAACCCATTTATGCCTAGTGTTCCATATAGGAACGCTAACTTTGTGGGAATCATGTATAGCCTACTGCTCAAGGTCATTGCCAAGGTCTGATTTTTCATACACAAAAACAATTTGCAACCTCTGGCATTAATAAGTTAATGTGTTAATAAAGTGTCAATTTTATACATAAGATGTATATTTCTAGGTAAAATTTCCACTTTACCTTTTCCTGTTCTAAATAACTCCTACAAACTATTCATGAATCCTAAAAATACATTTACCAATACTATTATATCTGGAACAATACATTCAAAGTGAAAATGGTAAGTAATTTAAAATGTATAACCAAAATGTCTTTCCATACATTCAGAAACAAGCAGACTTTCTTCTATTATGCACGTGGTATATTTTATAATGTATTATGTTACCAAATAGAACAGACCTTTAAGAATTGGTCACGTAGCAGCTTCATCTCTTTCAGCCTCTCTCTCCTAACACTTCTATATTGCTGCCACCTCTTCTGTTGTTCTTGAAATATTTTCTAGAATCCCACAACAAAATAGTGATAAAAATTGGGTAAATTTTAATACTTACAAAACACAATTCTCCATTAGCTTTAAAGGAATACTCTTTAAATCAATACTTCTGAACACTTTCTTTTAGACAATATTTAGGACCAATTTTAAACAATCGTGTTCGCCAATCACATGCTAAAAATGATGTATTAACCTTTTTCATCAGTCGTTAAGTAAATAATTTTCTTACTTTCACATATTCAACACGTATGTCCTAATTTCTTGATTTCCAATGAAGAATATTTGATGAACCTTCCTACAATTTGTTGACCACAGATAGGTAAGATCTACACAGAAATCAACTAAGAAACATTCTTTCTAGGATTTTAAGCATGTATTAAATCTTGGTCATTTCAATAGGCACATAGATGAACCACCCAATAATGATGGCCTTTCTGCACCTTGACTTAACCTCCAACAACAGTGTTCTCCTCTCCTCTACATGGCACTCACTCGCACAGTCATCCCCTAGATTTTGTCATTCCCAATGACTGCAACACCTACGTAATATTAATAATAGCAATGATAAGGAGCAACCATGGGTCAGATCACATCCTGAAAAACTTAAATAAACCCGTTACATAGAAACCTTTTGATCCTCCAACAACTCTGACGTAGGTACTCTTACCATGTCTCCTTTCGTAGATAATTTGCCCGTGGTTTCTGAGCTAGCAATGGTCAAGCTGAGATAAATAATTTTTCCACGGTTTCCAAGCTAGCACAGAGATAAATAATTTTTCCATGGTTTCCGAGCTAGCAACGGTCAAGCTGGAGTTGGATCCCAAGCAGTGTGGCTGCATAGTCCCAGCCCTTGAACCACTGTAGTCAGCTGTTTCTCCATCTTCCCAACATACAGCCACTACCTCCCTGCCATTGTAGGTCACTCACTTCAGTACTACAGCTCAGGAGTCTGTCGGGACCTGACACCCACTGAATGGAGCACTGTTTACTGCCCATTGCCCACCCCATGTGCTCGGGTAACTCAGTCCCAGCTGAAATTCCACAGCCAGTCATCTATCCTCATTCCTGCATCTATTCCCTGCCCAACTCTCCCTCTGTCAATCTGCTCGGCTAGACCCCAACCCAGGAAATTCCAACCCTACAGCTGCTCTTACACAAATACTCCAACTGGGCTCACTTCAATTTCTTCATCGTTATGATGCTGACTTCAGTTGGACCCCTAATGCTGCATGGCAATTATATTCCCCTGGTACATGAGTCCACTAACGGGCCCCCTCTCTGGGCTCATGCTCTCTTGCTTCTTTGCTGAATTTCTGCATGAACAATTACTCCCTGAGACATTGATACAACAGGTTAAACATAAAGCTAAGCCTGATACCAACAATTAGTTCTTCTTCTTCTCCCTCTTCTTCTTCTTCTTCTTTCTGCTCATCTGTGATGTATTCTTCAAGGACATTCAGCAACTTCAGAGAATGTATATAATCACGTTTCTGCCTGTAACACATAATAAGTAACACGGTCAAACTTCATAGAGAGATGAAAAATTAATCCTATTCAAACCCAAACTGACTTGACATAATTTATCCTATAAAGTAGCAAGGGAGTAATAGTAGCTGAAATCTTCTTTTTGGAAAAAGGTGAAATGAGTTGCTCTCATTCTGAAAGGATTCCTTCCTTCCTGACTACTAGAGCAGCTATCTTATATTCTTTACCTGCTGAAGACAAAGGAGGGTTTACTGCACTATAAGTTTCCCAGAAACATTCATTTTCTCTAAGAGCAGTTTACTTTTCATTTCCTTTTACTGAATAACATATGGGTTCTCATAAGTAGGTTCAAGAATATCATAGCCATTCATCCCGTAAGATTTCCCAGAAGAAATGCTTCACTTAACTATTTCTCCACTTTGGCACACCAATGGTTTTGTAAAAGAAATAGTGAAAACAATTTAACTAAAATAGATAACTTATTTACAACATAAGGTTATCCCTTTCTACATAATTGAGTATCGTTAAGGATCTACAGACTAAACATTGAGAACATTTATCTTATATGCAGCTACCATATTTCTAGAAATGGATAAACATTAATTTTACAGGAAGACTATTTTTATCTGGAAGGCAAAAAGAGGTCATCTTCATTGACTTCTAGGTAATATCTCTTGATTCTGTTAAACTGAGGTTATAAAACTAAAGAAACTTACCTGCTTAGAGAACAATCAAGTAAAATATGTTGTTCACTAGAGACGCCAATATGTACAGGATAGTTTTTGAAATTATTTGCACCAACGAATACAAAGAAATGATATAAATATCATTACGCGAGAAAGCCAACAGTCATACCTTTTAAGTTGTTTTTTGCTGAAAGCACTTTTACTTTTGTTCTTTGTTTTGCTGCAAGCTTTATCCATTTTCATCCTTTTTCTTTTTGCAGTAAGATCCTCTTTAATGTCAGTTAGATAGTAAATGAAAATGGATTAAAAGTTAATGTTGAAAAGTAGTTTATTTGCATATACTGACATCAATATGGGACATTATGGTTCAGCAACACAAGAAGGATATTTAAAATATAAAATTCAAAAATCATTTCAAAAAGCAAGATTTACTCACTTATTTTCTGTAAAACATTTCAGGTATTAATATTCGTATTTCAATTCTAATTTGTATAACTGAAAATCACTTAATTGACAGATGATGAAAAAAAGCAAATAATTAAAAGTTTCTATTTTTTAAATGTGCAGAAAGGGTTATAAGCACAGACTTTAATTTCTACATTTACAAAATGTCCTACAATTCAAAGGAGATGTTTCCATGAAATACTGCACAACTCATTATGTAAAGCACACAAAAAAGTATCATATAATAAAACCATCCAAAGGGTAGAAATAAGTTAATACACAGTAAGAAAAGCATTTTTAAGCAATCTAGTGATTGATGCTATTAACTGTATTTTAATAAAAGAAGCCATGGCCATGAGTATGAAAATTTAGGTTTAGGTAAAGAAATACACTCAAAAACACTTTTAAAATATTTTCTTGCAGCTTTTTATATGACATTTGTGCCCATAGTGCTGTGTTTCAGAAAACTGTAATACTGCAAGGAATGCTTTCCTAAACATGATTTCACATCAGAGACCTACCATCAATTGCTAAAAACAGTTTTCAGCAATCATAAAAGATTTGTACCCTAATGCAAATATTTTTTACATACAGTCTCCATCTATAACGCCCAATGTATTAGGCAGCTCACAAAACCGGCACTTTGTCACCAAGCAGAGCAAAGCTTTCCAAATATACTGCTTGTATGAATCATCGCTATCGAAGAGCTGAAAACTGAATTGAGCTTTTCAAAAATAAGAGTATTGTCTCCATCATCTTTACAGAAATTTTCTCAAACTTTTTTGAAAATATGGTCCCTATAACAGTGCAACTAATATTTCACACAGCAATATAAAGTTTATGAGTTTTTGGATCCAATTACATGTTTCTCACTAGATAGAAAAGTTGTCCTTACTTTTGTACTACACAGTTTATTACTGGAATAATAATAGAAAATGATTTTAGAGAATTCAATTTTCTCTTGTACTTCAAAGAAAACAAAATCAGAAAGCTGTGACAATAGAATAGCTAAATTAAGAACATGAAAAACTCATATTAAAAACTCTGAGTACATACGGACAGGAAGAAGGGACCAACAGACAACTGGGCCTACTTGAGAGTGGAGGGTAGGAGGAGGGTGAGGATCAAAAACCACCCATCAGGTACTATGCTTATAACCTGGGTGACAAAATAATCTGTATACCAAAACCCTGTGACATGCAATTTATCTATATAACACACCTGCACATGTACCCCCAAACTTAAAGTGAAAGCTTTAAAAAAACCTGATATATGACTTAATCTGCGTACACTAAAAGGAACGAATAGAGCTGTTTCTCCTCCAATGTCCTCTAATATTCTCCAAACAATTAATTTCCACGTGTATGGAAAAAAAGCCATCCCTCTCGCTTCACCATTATTAGAAGCATTCTCACATTCCACATCAACAATCAAAGAGGTAAGAAAAATTTATCAAACAGATTACATTAAATACGTATGTTAAATGCTACATATGATAAGCCATTTAAGACAGTCCTGTCATCCTCTGATTCATATAACTTACTGCAACAGTTGCATGATTGAAAACAATTTTCATAAACGACAGATAACTCCTAAAATATACCTGCAGTATCTTCTGGCTTCTTGGTATTAGCCCTGTAAAAAAAGTTACATCAAAATTTTAGCATAATACTACACAAAATGCCATGTTTGTTGGGAAAAGAAATGTCTTATGTGAAATGTTCTGCACAGAATAGAACAGTGATGACATGGTCCAAAGGTGACTTTTCCTAAAAGACCCTATCCGACAGGCAAAAGTGACTTAAACACTTTACCCCGTGTGCTCGTCTTTTTCAGCAAAAGGTTCTCTTTCCCCATGCTCATCAGTTACATCTTCCTCCCTTGTTTCTGTAAAAGGGTTTCTTTCCTCACATTCGTCACTGACTGGATCCTTTCCTGCATTAAAATTTAAAAGACAAACCTTTTTTAGAGGAAGACACTGTTGTGGACTTTTTTTGTGGAGAAACGTACTAGTTGTAGACTTTTTTTTTTTTTTTTGGCTATCTGCCAATTAAGGCTTTAAAGCAGAGCTGTACATGGAATCACCGGCTTCTGGCCATTTTATCAAGGCCCTTTTGGAAGCCCTTCGGGTTCAAGCCCCAGTAAACAACGTACTACACGTCAGACCCCTTGGATGTCATGACTGCACTCATGGAGAAGAGCTGCTCTGGGAGCATCTGTAACCCCGCTATGAGGGGAGCCTTTCACGGGAAGCCTAAGGCCCTTGAGCCTGCTTTGAAAACCTGGGGCATCTTAGCACATGCACGATGGACTCCAAAGCCACGAAGGGGCCCGGGTCCTTGGGCTACCCCTGTGCCCCCAGCGCAGAAAGCAGACAGACCGTCCTCTTGGGCGTGCACTTTCTTCCGGGTCACCTTGGGCTGTATTTACCTGCACGCTCCTTCCCCTGGGCCGCCATAAATTGAGCCTCCAACTGGGCCTTGGCAGCCCTCCTGCCCACAGGATCCGTGGCTGGCTGTCCTGGGAAGCTACAGGTGATCCCTGAACCTGATGAGGGCAAAGGCACACTAAGGAAGCAAAGGAACCCTGGCATCGGAAAGGAAAGCCATTGGGATCACAGGTTCAAGAAGGGTGGGGCTGGCACGCCCTGGGTCTCCTGTGGGAGCAGGAGGGGACCGAAAAGATGCCAGTGTCCCCTCCTGTCCTGGCCCGTCCAGCCCGTCCAGCCCGTCCCCGGGGCTGGCTGCAGAGCTCACAGCTGCCCCTCACACCTGAACTCCACGGCGTCTGCAGGATCCTCGCCGCACCTTTGGGACAGAACTCAGCCCTACCTCTGGGTCCCCCAGCGACCCCGTGTGGCTGGGAGGGCCGCCGGGTGACACAGGATCTCCCCAGCCACCTCCAGAGTAATGTCAGGGGCTGCACTGTCACTCACCCGCCTGGATGCACAGGGGACCCCTGATGACCCCAAGTGTCCTGTCCTGACGGGAGGCTGGGCAGGAGGGCCCCACTCAGACTGTCCCCAACAACACCCTCGCCCCACCCCCACTTCCCCCCACCTTCCGCACCTCCCCCCAACACATGCACAAGCCCTCCTGGGCCCTAGGGATCACCCAGGCGGCTCCAGCTCCCTCCCTGCCCTGGCCACCCCAGCCCACCCTCAGGGCCTCACCCTGACCCAGGCCCCAGGCGACCACGCCAGGGGCATTTCCTCACAGGTCAGCGGGCGGCCCAGCGCTTCACACCCTGGTTCCCAGAGGGCCTCGTGCCTGCGTTTCCGCCTCCCCACCACGAGCGCTTCACCTGAGGGACCCCTGATGTGGCGCCCTCAAAGAACCTGCAGACAACAGCACCACTAGGATCTCTTAGAAAACGGGTCCTCTCAGGAGGCTGAGGCAGGATGATTGCTTGACCCTGGGAGGCGGAAGTTGCAGTGAGCCCAGATCGCGCCGCTGCACTGCAGCCTGGGCGGCAAGAGCCAGACTGTCTCAAAAAACAAAAACCAAAAAACAAAAAAGAAAACAAGTACTCAGTTCTCGTGAGAGCTGCCGACAGCACTTCCTACGCTCCTCGCAGATTGGTCGACTCAGTGCACATGCGTGTGACAGGCCGTGTGGGGCCACGCCCCCTGCTGGCACGCCCTTCCCCTTCCCCTAAGTGACAGCAAGTGGTTGCTGTGGACTGAGGTGGGGTTGGCCCTTTGGGGCCTCTGTTCCCACATTCTTTCAGCTTCTGCTCCTGGGGAGGGACACAGGACTTGGTATGGAGGCCAAGTGGACAGGGCCTAGAACCTCGCCCTGGGGCTCTTTCCAGCCACCCCTGCCCCTTTGGCTAGAATGGCCATCATCCTATGGGTTGGGCCCAGGCTCCCTCCCATGCCCTGTGTGCTTCCAACATGCCCAGCTGCATCCTTTTCAATCAATGGATTGTGCTTTTATCGTTTTTGTTTGTTTTTGAGACTGTGTCTCACTCTATCGCCTAGGCTGGAGTGCAGCAGGGTGATCTCAGCTCACTGCAACCTCCGCTTCCCGGGTTCAAGTGATTCTCCTGCCTCAGCCTCCCAAGGAGCTGGAATTACAGGAGCCCAACACCAAGCCCTGCTAATTTTTTTTTTTTTTTTTGAAGTAGAGACGAGGTTTCACCATGTTGTCCAGGCTGGTGTCGAACTCCTGACCTCAGTTGGTCTGCACGCCTTGGCCTCCCAAAGTGCTAGGATTACAGGCATGAGCCACCGTGCCCTGCCCATAACCATTTTTGTTTCCTCACTACTTTTCTTTCTCATCCTCATGCCCCAGACTTGCCCACAAACCCTCATGCTCCAGACTTATCCAGACATATGCCACAACCTTCACCCACAAATTAATGCCTTAATACTTATCGTTAACTCAGCTTTTTCCCACCTCCAGTCGCCTATAATAGGGGGAGAGTTGTTTTGGAGTTAGGAGTAAATAAATATTGACTAAAGTTTGTAAATCAAGATATAGAGTTTCATTATATTATTGAAATTATATCCCAGCACTTTGGGAGGCCGAGATGGGCAGATCACAAGGTCAGGAGATCGAGACCATCCTGACTAACACGGTGAAACCCTGGCGACAGAGCGAGACTCCACCTCAAAAAAAAAGGAAAGAAAAGAAATTATAAAGGCAGTCATCAGGAAAACTAATCCACAGCCTTAAATGTCTATATAACCAAAAAGAGCACACACAAAGAACACAAATCCTGTAGTAAAAGTTGGAAAATAAAGAAAATACTCCAGAGACCATAACATAACATAAAGGAACAAAATTAAGGCCAAGTGAATCTGTTGAGCAAGAAATATGAATGAGATAAACTCAGAATCTAAAGGAAATGACTTCCAACTTGGATCAAAATAAAAATCTAAGTATATGCTGCATGTAAGAATGGAGCTAAAACAAAATGATACAAAAAATACATGTCAGACAATTATGAAGAAAAGGAAAATATGGATCTGGGAATTGATAGCTCGCAAATGTAAAATAATGCAAAAAATAAATGAATAAACTAAAGGCAGAGTATACAGAACAAGAGAAGGGCATGATCTACTCTGACAATCTGACATAAATCATTTTGTGCTTAACACAGCATCAACATGCCTAAACCCAAAACCGTAGAAAATAAAAGTAAAACCACCAATGAAAATGAAGAGTGATATGGGAGTCTGAACTCTGTCTGTCCAGGAGAGACCAAATACAAATGTATTGTCTTGGACACAGGCATAGTATCTTAAATTGCTCTCTTGGAAGTAGAGTGAGTATTTTCTTTCACTTTCAACCAACGAACCCTCATCACATCCTATAGTAATTCCTTGGCTGTTACTATCTTCTATTCTACCTACAGTTTCCCAAAAGATTAAAAAATTAGACTTACATTAGCAAATAGGAGAAAAGTTTTCTTCTTGTTGTCGTGTGTGTACACGCCTGCATGTAAATGTGTTTGTGTGTGTGATGTTTGTCGTTTGTTTTTTGGAAATGGAGTTTTGCTCTTGTTGCCCAGACTGCAGTGCAGTGGCGCCATCTTGGCTCACTGCAGCCTACCTTTCTCGAGTTCAAACGATTCTCCTGCCTCAGCCTCCAGAGTAGCTGGGATTACACGTGCCCGCCACCAAGCCCGGCTAATTTTGTATTTTTAGTAGAGATGGGGTTTCACCATGTTGGCCAGGTTGGTCTCGAACTCCTGACCTCAAGTCCGCCTCAGCCTGCCAAAGTGCTGGGATTACAGGCATGAGCCACTGCCCTGGCCTGGTTTTTTGTTTGTTTGTTTGTTTGTTTAATATGAAAGCCAGCACTAAGTGATCTTCAAAGTATCTTCATAACTTAAAATAAATGTTCACATGATCTCTTTTTCACATTCAGTGTGAGTAAAGCATGGAAGGTAATGTTCCATTCTGGTGCATTAAAGCATAATGGTATTGTATTTGAGAAGAGAGAAAGGGAACTGTGGTCTGGAAACTGTTGCCCAGAGCACTGCAAAAAGCCAGCTTAGAGCTGTTTCAGGCTGTTTTAAGTTCCAGATCATTTTGAATTCCTGCCCTAGAAGCTATGCACACTCAGAGAATGAGTTCAGTCTTGGCCCATGATATTGTACTGAATACCTCAGCTACTTTTCTACAGATTAAATAACATAAACTCCTTTTATTTTTCTTCACAGTTCTTACAATGAAACTTTAACAATGTCTCCTTGAAGTCTTTGAGAGTGCTTCAAAATTCTATCTTTCTTTTGTATTGTCTTTTCTTGTTGTTAGATTGTTTGGTTTTGGTATAAAGGGAGCCTAAACCTGGTTGCAGTTAGTAGGAATCTGAGAAGGCTAAGTTCAAAATCTCAGAAAGATTTTCTTTATATTTTCTATGTTTTACATTCCTTTAACAAATTCTGATATGAACACTTTCCCAGTAAGAATATTTGTATCATGCTTTAACATTTCGTTTATTTTTGTGTGCAAACTAGCATTTTTTTAATTAAAACAATCTAAATGTATTAAGGAATTAGATTATAGGGAAATTAAATTAAAACATAATTTAAAAGAAATTATTATATCCAGATACAGAAAATCAGAGGCATAAAGATGTTGTGACTGGGTCCATGAGGAACGGGGTCAGGGAAAATGATGTACCAGACTAATGAGTGGCTTGGACACTGTATTAGTCCATTCTCAAATTGCTATGAAGAACCCAAGACTGGGTAATTTATGAAGAAAAGAGGTTTAACTGACTCACGGTTCCACAAGTTGTATAGCAAGCATGGCTGGGGAGGCCCCAGGAAACTTACAATTATCGTGGAAGGTGAAGGGGAAGTAGGCAACATCTTCACATGGCGGAGCAGGAGTAAGAGAGTGAAGGGGAAGGTGCTACATGCTTTTAAACAACCAGACCTCACTCACTATCACGAAAACAGCAAGGGGGAAGTCTGACCCCATGATCCAATCACCTCCCACCAGGCCCCTCCTCCAACATGAGGATTACAATTTGACATGAGGCTTAGGTGGGGAAACAGAGCCAAACCATGTCAGGCACAAAGTCGAGCTCTTCACAAAGCACAAATGTTCCAAATCCGAACAAAGGTAGATTAGCATTTTCCAAATGCCAACCTCCAAAGACCTCCAGATTAGGACTTCAAACACGTTTCAAGTTTGTCACATGGCTCTCCTTTTATTTGACTGCTCTCCAGGAAAACCAAATTTTACCCCACATGCCTCTGATAATAATTATTAACGTTCCTTCCTAGGCAGACAAATCCTATCAGAATTTTAAACCTACCCTAAATGTTTCCTCTTTAATGCAGCCGTTCACCCAGCACTTTTAAATAAGTGAGACACTCTTTCTCCTTGCAACCCATTTAGAGCTTTTATCTGTCATGGGAAATTTGCCTTATATTGCAGTTATCTGGGAAGTCATATTCCCCATTAAACTACATCTGAAGGTCAAGAACAGTTTCGCAGGTATCTGTATAATATGGAGTACTCAATGTACACTGACCATATTGAATCCAACAAAATTGAAATTAATGGAGCTTTTTGTCTTTAAAACAGAAAAATAATAACGAAAAAGCCACAACTCACAGAGTACTTGAACTTGCATTGTTCTGCTAAGTGGCATTTTTATGAGTCCTAAATGCTCTGCACTATGCTAATGAAAGACAAGGTTGCAAATAATTGCCTGGGCTTCCCAGAGAGGCGTTGGTACAGGATTCTGGCCTGCTAGTTTTAAAAAAACTTTTTTCTCAGCATAGAAAAACAGATTCCTGATTTGTATAGTAGAGGCTAGCTCCTTTCTAAATTATGTGCAGACAACACTGGTCTGTATATTTTAAGTGAATTAGTGTCTTTATGTAACCCCTGAAGTTCTCCATAATTCCTTGTTAACACGATGGAGTTTCTGATGTGCTTTCTCCCGGCACAATCACAGGTTACTACAAAGAATGGAACTCAGAAGTCAACAAAAACTCTTTATCAAGTATGACTACAAAGTAATAGAACTTAGATGGCATAATGTAAATGAACGCTTCTTTGTCCTCCAAGTTATATGAGATGCTATACCTATAATACATCCATGCTATCATTAATCAAAATGCTTATTAAAGCACTTTCAGCAGCTAGGGCACATTCCTCTAAACATTCCTAAAGGTGGCAAATCTCCAAAATATGAGGGGCATGTGGGTTTTCTGAATACCCAAAGTTGTTAAAAATCAATTCTGGGGCCAGGATCCCAACTTTGGTATGTGTGTACGAATGCTTACACACTTGCAAGGGTGAATGCTTGTGTGTGGGCATGTGCACATGTGCATGCATTCATGTGCATGGATATGAATGTGCATGGGTGTAAACATGCAGATGTATGCATGTGTATGTCTTTTATCTCTATATCAGCACAGGAAGAAGCATGGAACAATAAACACTAGAATGATACATCTCGCCATCCCTGGGTGTGGGAATTTTAGATATATTTTATAATACATTATTGTTTATATTTTCTAATTTTTCCATATGCGTTTCTTGCTTATGTAAGAAGCAAATAAAGAGAAAGGAAGGAAAAAGAGAGACAAA